GAAATTAGTGCTCACATTTTTCCGCTAACTTCACGGACCTCTGCATGTCATAGGTTTATTATTATCGACTGAACTACTTAAGTTGAATTAACGAATTTAAAACTGTATTATGTTTAGGGACCAACCTTCAAGTTAATATTATCAAATAAATGACAATAAAGAAATAATTGTATACACATGAGTAAAATTCCAGTGCCGATCTTAAATAAATTTACAATTTTGTAAGTAAATGATTCTGTTGATAAGAAAACCTGTATAAGCAAAGTAAACAAATTACTAAAATACCTATAGCCTATCAATGTAGTTGGCACTAGAGACAACGAACATTTTTAATTATTAAGTAGCAGAGACGTAGCCGGGGGGCTAAGGGGGCTGTAACCCCTACCCATTGTCTGTGTTTATTTTAGCCATTACAATCGTTAACAACTATACACTTGATATAATATATTACTATAAAAAATATTGAAGTATTGTGTTGCTAACACCACAGAATAAGATATACCTACCTAAGGTATTTTACAAATCAATAATCCTTATCAGAACTAAAATCACAGAATAACCAGAACAATCACTTCTCCAAAATTCAGTTAATTTGTGCTTCTTATAATATTATTTCTTATATATCATTATTTATCATGATAATATGATAGTTAATCATACGAAAGTCAATTATACAAGTCTGTCTTATAAAATACAGTTATACCAATGAGCATTAAGTTCTTATCTTATACGAAGTAATATTCATGCGCTTACTGTTAATAATTATTTAAATAATAATTGATATCAATATATATACTGTTTACTCTTATTATTGTTCAAAACCCTCCTAAAAAAAGGATGCCGTTAGAAAATTGGAGTCATCATAAAAATAAAATAATTTTTTTTATAAAATATAATCTATTAAAATTATGACTTTTAAGAAACTGTAAATAAAATAAATATTTAATTTTTTGTGTGGGACTCAGCCTAACCCCCCCCCCCCCTAAATACAAAATTCTTGGCTACGTCACTGTTTAGTAGTTGCCAGTAGGTACTATACTAAAATGTTGAATCAGTAACAGCACACATGAAGTCTGAAAAATTGTTGCCTATTATAGAATATTACCATAATGAATGAGTTCGACATCATTATGATTATGCCTGACCAAATAGCAACGTGCATCAAAACAATAGGCTTCACAATTGAAAAATATAATTTTAGTTTTCTGTTAAAAAAATTAAAAATATTTTGAATATTGTTTGTTGTTACTTGTTAGTTGTTAGTATGTTTATTATGTCATTATTTAACATAATAAATACCCAACTATAATAAACTGTTATATTATATTTACAACTTACATATTGCACATCGATATTAGTGTTTTTTTTTTAATAATAACAATAATCTTTAGACGATAAATTATTTTTAGGTATACAAAATGTATGATAAATCGTTATTATCCATTGTAATAATTTTTATTATACATCCAATGTCGACAACAATTTGAACATTAATCGATCATAAAGACATACAATAACCATATTATGGATTTACACTTTTTAAATTTCTGGTAATATTATTTATGCGGAATTTTGTATGTATTCAATTTTTGAATCTGAATTTTTAAATGTATGCATATTTTATAAAAATGTAAAGATAAATAATACTAATAATGTATACTTATATACATCGTCAATATGAACATATTATAATATAACATCGAGTATGGACACAATGAAACTCGAGAAGAAACTTTTATTAGACTTAATTTCAAACGTTTTTACTAAAAAAATCAAATCTTTATATAAATACGCTTTTTTGTCTTACCAACAACTCATACTTTATACATAGCAGGAGAGAAATAAATCTCTCTTAAAATTGAAAAAAAAAAATTGTACGGATGTTTTCCTAGAGGCAGTTAAAATACAAAATAGAAATACACCACTGGCGCCATTTGTCCAGTAAAATAAAATAAAATAAATATGAAAAAAATGTTTTCCCTGGCAAAATCAGGTACCTAATCAAAATTTAAAAAAAGCGGGTAAGTGAATGTCACTCTGTTGTATAGTAGGTTATAACTGTTACAAGTGGGTCACAATAATGGATGATGTTAAATTTGAAGTCAATGATATACAACGATTGTATACGATAAACGATTCTAAGCGAAGACGGCCTGTAATATTACCTAGTAATTTAGTTTATTAATTGATGATGTTATTGTGATTACCTAAAGTAATTTATTTTACTATTAAGCATTAGTACTTTAGTTCCCTTAGTAGGTTAAATTCATTTTTGCCAAAAAAATTATATTTGAAAAGTCATTGTGTGTGTAAAAAATATAATAATATACTCTAAAAGTTTCAAGTAGGTATCCTTGAATTATACTTTAGAATTGCAACAAAATTACTCAAATCATTATTATTGGTTATTTAATAATATGTAATTTTATCCAAATTTGAACATAAAATAAATATTTTTAAAAAAACTGTGCTTTCATCTTTTTTGGTTACAGAATTAAATACTTGTTAGCAACTTTGTTTTAAATTTTGTTTACAAAAGTTATTATAGCATTATTATTGGTTATTATATCATTTTATTAATATTTGCGCAACAAAATAATTTGTACAAATTCAATTTGATAAATTTTGTCAAAATTTGAACTTTAAATGCTTATATGAAACAAAATCGTACCTATGTATTTTTAAATAGATTGATATTTATAGAAAAAAAACTAAAAAAATTGAAAAATGAAAATGTCCGTAAACAGCTCAAAAAGATTCAAAATATTTTGAAAATTTGATCAATTCATATACTTGATAAAATAAACATATTATGATGTAAATATTTTCAAGTATCTATAGTTATTCGTTTTTGACTTACAACAAAACAAGAAATCGCTACATTTAAAATTGAGAGAATACACAATGTTGTAAACATTTCAACTACAAAAGGTCATAAAAATTTAATTTGACTTTCCGGTAGAAATTTTTTTTGATAAATTTAGACAAATCTTTAAAGAATCTTATAGTAAATTTTAAAATCCTAATTCCTAGATATAAATTTAACTGAAAATAGTTTATGTATGTTCGTGAATTTTACAAATTTTGTCTAACTTCATTTTGAATTCCTACTAACAACGGAGAACCTCGTACTAGGAACCTTGTATTACATTTTCAAGTTTTTTGAACAAGCAAAAGTTTTTTATCGACATGAGTTTTAAAAAAAGAAATAATATTCGACAATTACATACGTCTATAGTCTGTATATAGACTTAACTATGTGTATAGTTTAACTCTTGTCAAAATATTTTAATAATTGTATAGTATATAGAAAATACAGGTTTAAATATTCAGTGAAAATTGCACGTATTTTCGGTAATTTTCTTAGAGTTACATTAATTAATAATTAATAACCTTAAAGTACCAATTTATATAATAAAATAAAATATAATAGTTAATTATAGTTTTTGTTATTTAATTGTATACAAACATGAAATGTCTGTTTATTTGTAGCTTATATCACAGATTATATAATCTGTGCTTATATTATAAACCGAATTCAAAGTTGATTGTCAAAATGATAAAAATGACAATGACTGTCACTAAAATATAAATCGCTCCGCTTGGAATCTAAAATACACCTATACTCCGTGTAGTAATTATTTAATTATTATTAGTAGTAATTCACCATGTTAATTGTTTATTTAATATAGATTGTATATTTGTATATTATATTGTAACATATATACTTACACATCAAGTTCTTGTTGATCAAACAAAATCGATTTAAAACATTTATAATCATCTACGACATCATAATTGTGGTCTGAAAAGTAAAGTGTATGTTATAGATATTATTATACCTGCAATATTCAATATAATATTATATTATAATATGGACTTGCAGTATCTATTAATATTGTAGGTACTAAACAATTCTGTAGAACTTTATTGAAGGTCTTACTCGGCTCCTATTTGCGCACTATACTAAATTTGATCGATATAGGTACAACTATAATGGGATGAGCTGTAAGGGACGAGGGTCATTGGGAATTGAGTCATTTTATTAATTTTTTAACTCCATTTTAGTTATTACTAGCTACTTTTCAATGATTTATGCATTAGGTATTTTCTCATCTTAAATGAGTTGCGAGTAAAGAAAAATCTATTACAATTCAAATCCAACACGGAAATACATGTTTTCTTTGTCTTATTCTCTATTGGCTATTGTGAACCGCCCACAGTCGAATAGATGATTCTAGAGTTTCTATTGACACATATTATTTTTATGTAGGTAATGGTCAAAATGTATTCTCACCCTTCTGAAGGTTTTTATTATGCCCGATGTTCTTAAATGCTGCAGCCAGTACTTCGTATTGAACGGTTATTGCCCAACCAATAGACAATAATAATACATCGATCATCAATACTAAGTATACCGATTTTATTCCTATTGTTATTTCGAATACGTAAAATAAAATATAATACTTATTATACGTGTTTACACCAACAGGATATTGTCTGTTTATAACGTTATCTAAGCGCTGATTGGCATTGTTGTACTCTATGAATGAGTTTACTATTATTGGAAAGATAATCCATTCAAATAGCACAATAGCCACTGTGTAGAAATATATGTTTGTAAGTTGTAAAGCTCTACTACAGTGGGTGTATAGTATTTTAATGTTATCGCGACACGGTCTGCTTTTTAAAAATATTAAATCTGTAACGTCCAAAAGGTCCAGAATTTTTTTTCTGTTGATTATCAGTATGATCATTTTCAAGGAAGCAGAATGACTTAATAAGTTTGAGAATATGATCAAAAATAAATCAGTAGCGTCAATGGTGTCTTCCAATTCCAAAAAAAATCCAAAATTCCCGAAACAAATTAAACACTCGGTTATCAAGGTTAATATAATAAAGAAAATCCAGTAAACATTCCAGCCAAATATCTTTTTACTGTTTGGATCAAGCATTTGATAAAAACCGTATTGCTTTAAAATTTTTAAATTAATGGTGGCAGTATGATCATTAAATGTTTCCATCAGACTTGGTTCCCTTATGTTCTTGCAATCTGTAAAAAAAACATTTTTAAAACTGTTAGTTTTTAATAGATAATGTAATATCAAGACTCAGAATTGGACATAGGTACTCAAATATCCCACAGTTTCTTCATGGCAAAAGAAGAACCCCCAATATGCACAGTCTGTGGTGTCACAGTCACCATCAACTCCATTCTCTCTGAATGCCGAACATACCACAAGTCACAACCTGCCCGAATCATTAGCCGAAATACTCCACAATCGCCCTCGATAGTCAACATTATTCAATTCACCACAGCCGCCAATCTTCAAACTAACATTTAAAATTAATATTTAGAATAAGTACACATAATAATATGTTATCAATTTAAATTATTTTTAAACCCAATGGCTCATGTTGCCGAGGATATTGTATCATAAAAAAAAAAAACTAGATACGTAATGTGTTAACAATAGTCAATGGATTCAACTAATAGCTGTGGCCTATGTGAGACTGGATTTGCATGAGTTTGATTCTGCAGAGTCCATGGTGAAAATTATAAATTTGCATTATGCTAGTTCAATAACATATAATAAGTTTTATAAAAAGCCTTTTAATTCAAATCTAAAATATTTTCATTCTGCAATAACAAGTATCTACTTTCAATAGTATGTGTAGTTATAGTAAACAGAAAATATTAAGGAATATCTTTATTTTATGATGCTATCTCGAAATTTTTTACTTATCTCAGAAGTTCAATTAATAATGTCATGGTAGGTAAATTATGTTTTTTTCAAACTCAAATTATTATATTGTTGCACGTTGAATATACCTAGTTAATTATTAAAATAAATTGTTCTTAATAAAATCGAAACATCAAACAATGGCTAATCCAAACGAGTAGATATAATATCAACCATGCCATAGACTATAATACTTTTATTATCTAATAAACATAAATAAGAAATACATAACATACATAACATACAAATACCCAATAATTATTTACAGTCATTTTAATCAGGGTTAAATTTTATTTATTTATGATATGAATCGTATTAGCGTGATACTTTTTAAAACGTACTTGTCGACAATTTAGGGATAAATCTGCAATAATAACTTTATATGAATCGTTGGTCAGTTCTCATTTTGGTTATGCACTATACTTATTAGTTATTAGTTATAACTTATTTGGCACCCATATTTGGTATCAACGAAACAATATATCAACAAAATCCAAAAATAAATTCATAAGAATTTTATGTTTTCAATGTTATATTTATAGAGCGACGTACAATAAATTTCTTTCATATTAGAAATGTTAGAAAAAGGGTTTATACAGCTAAAATTCATATTTTGGATACTAACTGATTACAAGACTCCTCATACATTGTTTATACTTGTTTAAAAGAATTAAAAGTACATACCTTTGCAAGATTTCAAGACTTCGATAAACACTTCTTATTGGCTTACACACGACGACTGACTATTGCAAGAAATAGGTTCGACATGCACTTATGATTATTTTATTTACAAGTCTATATAGTTCATAGTTAAAAGATAAAAAAAATTTTCAGTGACCCTATTGTAAAATTTATGAACTAAATTAGATGCTTACGCTAGGAAATTAAACTTTAAGCTATGAATAACTTGGTAGGAACTATGGGAAACCATAATAGAAATATTATAATTTTTTTGCTATTAAAATATATTGCGTGAGAACTTCAAGGTAAATTCGTAATAACTCATAACTATTAAATCTATACGTTGAAATTCATATCCCTGGAACTGTCTTTAACTACGTTGTGTAACAGATGTCTTAATATATTATTCATACCAGTAATTTCTTTTTAAAGAAATTTGTTTAATTTTACTCTTTTTTAGAACTTGGTTTTTTTTACTACGAAATTTATTTATGTTTAGTATAGAGGTAATATTTAGATTTCATGTCCTATATAAATAACAATAATATAAAATTAACATTAATTGTTCGTGATGTTTATGATCTAGTTAGTTTCTTTTTCGACAAAGTAAAATTGTTTTAACATTTTCTGTCAAATAAAAACATTTTTTTAAAATAATATTTTATTTTATGTCATTACTTCTCGTTTAGGAAGATTCTATCTATATCTATATCTATATATTACACTTACAATTTATTATTCATTAGAAATTAGGAGAGATATTGTAATTTTATAATTTTTCATATATTTTATCCTTTAACTGTCATAATGCATTTTTAAGTCTAATATTATATTAAATATATGGTAAAAGCCAATAAAAATGCAATTTATAATTTATAACTCAAATTAGATAATCGTTCTACCCTTAGTTATGAATTACTTAGTAGAAAACCAGAGGACCTGCTGTTAAATGTATAATTTGAAATACATATTTTTCATTTTAAAATGGTATTGCGTGAGAGTTAAGTAATAATTTGATTAATCCAATGAAATAAAATAATAAGGTCATAAGTCATAAAAATGCGTCAATTCTAGGTTGAAGAATGGATAATTTTTACTCCTCCAAAAGGTGATTGCAGCACTAAACAATACCATACATAATTTTAAAACCAATACCCACATTAATCACTTCCCTGAATGTGGAACCTAGCCGTTTTTATGTAGATTATGTAGGTTTGTATAAGAATTTAGAATAAGAATTGAGTTTAACTATACTAAATCGTATAAACCTCCTTGTAAGTTAATATTCATACAACTCTGGATGGGCACAAGGTTAGGCAATAGGGACGAAAATGTGTAATGTATTATAATTTATAGGTAATTTGCAATCCGTGGCGATTGTCGAAGTAGTTGCAAAGACGCAATCGATCTAAAATTTCAGTTAGCAAAGCTGCAGACAAAAACAAGAAACATGAAGCGAACAATACGGTTTTTTTTCATAATAAATCTCAATATTTTCAGACTTAAGTTCAGTCGTATAGGTATCTGATTTATTCCGCAGTGCACCCACAATATCAGGAACTCCGCCGAAGCCCGAAAGCGTCGATGTTTAAAGTAATTAATTTTGGTTTCATACTTTTTTGGTGCTTAAATTTATTTTTTAAATAAAAATTTAATTTCATGAAAAATATGCTACCCTATGTACACACATCCCACTGTGCAATCTGAGTTACAAAATGTTGCTGCTATGTTAAGTTTCGATCACAATAAAATGTTACTAAGTAACAATAATGCAATGTCGTATAATTGTTCCATACAATTAATATCTAATATATCATCAAGTTACATTATTGAAATGTTAAAAGTTGTACATGTATACAATGTTACAAATTAATATTCATTCAATGTTAAATTATTGTTGTATTGAAATAATCTTGTTTACTCGTTAACACGCAGCTGCAGTCGGCCAATTATAATATTATCACTTTATTTATAATCTTACAAGTTACAAATATCCCTAAATAGTTTATCCCATTGTTACAAACACTATCATTGGTTTTTTCCAATTCGGTTTTCGGTGAAGCCGAAAATATATATTTTATTTCTGTGAGCAAATGCATAAAATACGAGAGATCAAATAATATACAAACGCCGCGCGCTCGTCGTCGTCGTTTTTCTGCTCTCTGATCGTCGGGTAATTTTATAATTATAACCTATTTTTAAATACTTGAAATAGACATTCATTGTACGGTTTAGTTTAGAAATACCCGTTATAAGTGATTACTCATAAGACACAATTGTAATTTATAACTTATAATTTTTTTTTAATCCAAAGTTAGCTGTTACAGCACACTATTCATCAAGTGTTATATATATTTCATTGTTCTATTATAATATATCAATATTACATTATATTATAGTTGTATCCAAAAAACAAAAATGTTCACAGAGTGGTAAACTCACTATCCTAAAAAGTAATCACTCCGACGAGTGATTATGAAAAATATACTTTTATACTAGTATAGATATCTTTATATAACACAATAAATAGTAATAATGAAATAAATAGACACAGGCGTTCAAATATTCTAAAATGTTGTAGATATTCAAAGCTGGGTGTATATATGAGTAAAAAAATTAAAGTTATGTCAACTTTAACTTTTAAACTTCTTTAAGATTTCGAGCGGAGCGATGAATGTATTGATTTTACAATTTTTTTTTTTTTTTTTGTTTCTGTCATCGCGTTAATTTGGGAGAGTAAAAGTGCTTAGATTTACTTCAACAAGCATCTTTTCTGGTAGAAATGTGAATAGTATCAGTACTTCAAGGGGTCAAAAGTAAAAAATTCTCAATAGTTTTCAAAAGCGGCAGGAAAAACAAGCAAAAAATTAAGGAAAAAAAGCAAAATTTTTACGGAAACCCGGTTTTCAACAAAATCGATTTTGGTTTTTGAAGTAAATTTCAAAAAAAAAAATACCGAAGATATACATGAAATTTTTACTGAATATTTATAACGGAATTTTCTATAAACCATATAATTTTTACAGCAAATTTTATAAGCGTTTGAATTTTGAATTTAAATAATTTGAATAATTTTACGAATCAAAATAAAAAATATTTGATAGAAATTAAATTTAAAAATAAAAATGGGAAGGGGGCATGGTCGCCCGCAGGCAAAAGAATTTTAAGAATCAAAATAAAAAAAATTTAAATAAAAATGTGATACAATTTAAATTTAAAAATAAAAATGGAAAGGGGGACGTGGGCTCCCGTGGGGCAAATGAATTTTAAGAATCAAAATAAAAAACAATTATAAAAAAATATGATAGAATTTAAATTTAAAAATAAAAATGGGAAGGGGGGCATGAGCGTCCACAGGCCAAAGATTTTTAAGAATCAAAATAAAAAAAA